AATTTTATAATGAATATCAACAGTCGGAATCTTTGTTTTACCTCTTTTGAATGAATCTCCTCATCTTTTAGAACAAACAAAAAGAAAAGAAGAAAAAAAACAATAGTATGGATGAAATCATTAGAATGTGTATTGAACATTTATGAGTGACGCAACAGACAATTGTAGTGAACTATAAAAGCCAAAAAAAAAAAAAAAAATGAAAGAGAACACAGAGGACTAACAGAAAATCAAGTTGAAAAAAAGCTCAAAACTGAGGTTTTGGAACCAGAGGTACCACACTACCAGAAAGTTACCTTTTACTTAATAGTAACTGAAACTTTAACCTTAGATCTACCAAACCTATGAAAATAATACATAAAATAATGACAGTAATGCAATTACATGTAGCGTACAAGAACTTAAACCTGTGAAACAATTTTTCGTATTTGAGGGTCAAATCCCATATCTAGCATCCGATCAGCCTCATCCAGTACAAGGTATGTAACCCTTCGCAAGTTTGTATGATGAGACTCCATCATATCAATCAACCTTCCCGGTGTAGCAATTACAATTTCAACTCCTGAATTTATTATTTTAAGAGGTGTCGTCAGCCTTGCTATCATAAACAACAATATTGAAGAGAAGTAAAAAAAAACAGAAAAAATAATCACTAGGTAGGGTAGTAATCATAAAAAATCAAGGTGCGAAAGGATATTCAATTTGTCAACAATGAACGTAAGAAGAAAGTGTTCATTGGCACCTCATACCCTGGTTAGGATAAGAGTATGGACATATTGAACTTAATTTACCATTTACCTTTCTGAAGATCACGCACTTGAGGCCCCTTGGGAACGCCACCATATATGCATGTGTTCTTAATCTTTGATGAGGCACCAAATTTTGTAGCTTCTTGTTGTATTTGAACAGCAAGTTCACGAGTAGGAGCTAGAACTAACACAATGGGACCATCTCCAGGAGCTGAAAAATGTTACAAAATGAAAATGAGAAATCAGTCGATTTGAACATAATGACCACTATTAGACATTTTATACTTTGCACACTATCTCCTTACAAAGGATTGGCTGTGCGTTGACATGTACAATTGCAGGCAAAAGGTACGCAAGTGTCTTCCCGGACCCAGTTTCAGCAATACCAATGAGATCTCGACCTTTGAGTGCCATTGGCCATCCTTGTGATTGAATAGGAGTAGGTTCAGTGAAGCCAGCTTTGGAAATTTCTTGCATGACATAATCTGATACACATAATAAAATATTCAAATTTTTCCTATGCATTAATTATAAAGAAAATTGAACTAGGCATTAACTAACCCTGTTCATAAAAGAATAATGCTTAAACTTCAAAATATGATCAATAATGTGGGGAAAGTGGCAGAACTGTTGAACGATAATATGAGAAGTCAAAGTTTAGTTCATAAAGATAAAAGTTCTCGAGAAAGTACCAGGAAACCCGACATCACGGAAAGACTTGACTGGTTTTGGAACATCACGACCTTCTACAGTAATCTCCCTCCTTTGACGATACTCCTCAACCTCTCTCTCTGTCATTGCTGCCACTGATGGTGCCTCAATGTAGAAGTTCTTCTCAAAATGAGGCAATCCATCCAAATCAACCTTTCTGGGGGCCTCAGAAGCATAATGGTCACTCTTGCTAGAGGAGGATTGAACTGAACTGCTATAGCCTGTAGAGCCACCAAAACCTGAATCACTGCAGCAGCCCAAAAAACATGTTGAGAGAGAAAGCCCCATTATTTAAGAAAACAAATAAAGAATCACCAATGCAGTTTATCCCAAGTATCGGGAAGACAATAACTTCATTTTTCCAAAAAGAATACAACGCTGCAATCACAAAAAGAAAACATAAAAACAGGCTAAGTTAAAAGATCAGTAAGATTAATCATATTTTAATAACTTCATAGATTAGTAAGTTGAAAGGGCATACTCTCTATCAATTTTGGAACCAAAAGAGATAGGTAATTTTGGTTTTAGGTGATTTTGGTTTTGGGTGATTTTGGTTTTGGGTGATTTTGTAAAGAGTTGGCATCTTCTGGCTAGGAGAAATATGGAGAAGATAGACATTAAGATGTTTACTGGTCTTTTGAAGCTGCTGGAAAATATTCAAGCTGGGGAAAAAATGGAAGACTAGGGATTTTCGTTTTTCAAGCTTCTTTACAGTCAAATCCCTGTTTCTGCATAAAACTTAGGTTGAAGTTTCTTTGTTTTAGATTTTTCAAAGGAAATTTTGGAACGGGAAATATTCTAGAAAAATTGAAGTATTTGTTTCTTCAGCCTTTTTTATCTTCTAAATACATCAAATAGACTTCGAAGGAGATGTCCAATAATGGCTTTAAATCTGTTTATCTCAACTTGGAAGTTGGTGAATTTTGGGGTACCTACTTTTCAATTCCTCACAAAAAGGAATTATGGCGCTCTCTTTTCCAAATCCTTGGTCTATCTAGGAACTTTCGATGTGTGTTGGAAGATAATGTGCTTCATATGCTTTGTGGTCATCTGTTCGAGAGGAAAGCAAAGAAGCTTTGGGCATGTGTTGCGAACTCAAATCTTTGGTTTTGTGAGAAGAGAATAACAAATATTAAATGAGCAAGCGAATGATTGGAGGGAAGAGGTAATAAAAAGGCACAACCACAATATTTGAATAAAAAAAAATTCCCCCAACAGAAACACTTCAGTTCAAGACTAAACATGAGAGAAGGTTTTTTACATAATATCAATTCAGTTCTATTGATATATCCTAAGGCAACTATCAAAGAAAAAAAAAATCTTCAAAATTTGAATTTTCATACGGACTCTTTTGTAACTCCTTAGGTTTGGGCCGATGCCTTAATTTTGTAAATTTGCATGCATCAATGAAATTTGTTTTTGATCTAAAAAAAACATAAGGAGAAGAACAGATAATGAAAAATGTGAAGGGGCTGAAGAAAAAACCAAGTAAAGAAACAATGACTTCCAAGTTACAAGAGAGATCTTTGATTTCAAAGGTCATTAACGTTGGTCTCTATATCTAGGGGAAACAGAACAATTGGCTGAAGTTAAGAGAAAATAGAAGCTAGCTCCTATTAATGAAGGCCATAAGCAATAAATCAAAAGGTTTGATCCTCCCTCGCTGTGAACAAAAGACCAATGAGACCAGAAAGTTCTTGAGAAAGTTGGATTACGAAGAAGAATGGTAAAGAAACAGGTTTAAAGATCCTCTCAGAACATGACACCCATGATCTCCTACATAAAAGGTATTAAAAGAACAAAACTCTAAAGGTAGGAAGAGATTGCTTTCCATGGGTTCCTAATGGTGTTCTTAGAAACCAAACCGAGATGTTGGTCATAGGGATGAAACCCATTCTTACAATCACAGACGCCACGAAGCATGAGGTTCTAAATGGAGCCATCACAGCTATTTTAAGAGAAATGGAACATTTTCTTTTTTTTTTTTGCACAAAATGCTTGTGCTTAAACCACCTTCCACAATACAAATTTTCACAGCTCCAACTCACTAAACGAGTCCCACTTCCCTCCTCCACCTCCTCCCATTAAAAACCTCTCATGATCTTTTCCAAGTGTGCTTTCGGCATGAAGGTTTTCCTTTAATCCATTTTACAAACGTACTTCTAAAGATTAACCAAGTTCCTTCATATTACTTAAACCTCCTATTCACTAGCCCATACTTTTGGAAAATAGAGGACTAAGATTATTAATTTAGAACAATAATAAATAGAAACCCAACTGTTCAATGAACATAAAACAAGAGAAACAAGATTTTACAAATAATTACCCAAATACATTCAAACTCCAAATGAGACGTGGAGGCGGAAAACCTCGTTTTATAAACCAAAAACAGCTCTTAAACTCAACTACTGAGTAGTGGGTAGTCACAGGCTTAGAACGAAATCAAGGACTTGTTGAAATATGGTTTAATCCTTGCTTTAGGAGTACTGGCTAGAGGGAAACAGTAGAATCTGTTTTGGACACAACATTTGCAAGAAATATTGGCACTACACTCAGTAGCTAAACTTTTGGCAACAGCTAGGAGTACATCACCGGAATCCTTAATAATAACAACACATCTTCTGTAATTAATTCCAGCGGATGTTTCTGGATTACTCAATTTTTCCACTAGGGAACAAAAAAAAAACCTAAACAAAAATAACTGCATCCGTAATCGGTATACTATTCAACCAGCTACCATTACTCAAAATGAGAAAGCCCTCATCGTAGTCAAAATTAAGCAAGCTCGCAAAATCTAGGTGCATTAAAAAAGCTTAAAATCCATAGCAACAGAAACCAAAACCCACATTCGAATGCGTAGACAGGAAAAGGAGTAAGTTAGAGTTACCTTCTACGGTCGCGGTAAGAAGTGGGATCGGAGGAGCGGCTGTCGTAGCGACTCATGGCGCCGGAACTCGCCGGAAAGAAGTGGGAAGGGTTTTAGAAGCTGCCTCTGTTCGGTAAAGGCGAGAAAACCAACAACGGGGAGGATTCTATCTGCCCTTCGCTCGATCGAGGCTTGCTAATCGTACGGCTACACTTTTCTTTTTCGGCTCACAGCACCTATTAAACGGCGACACGTACTATGGCGGTGTCTCTCGTATTAATCAGATTTTATTTTTCAGTTTTAATATTAAATAAAAAAACCAAAAACAATCCATCAACGGTAACATATAGTTCTATTTACTCAAAACATTTAAATTTATATATTACAAAATTAATTATTTTAATAATGTAAATATTGTTATGCACATATAGCCTTAGATCCATTGAAGGTAAATTTTCTCACGAAATTTTAAAATAGCTCGACAATAAAGTATTTGTGTTTGTAAAAATTAATATATTTGAATTTTTTATTTAAAAGGATAATTATGTGGGCCTTTAACCAGAGGCCCAGTTATAAAGCTTTATGGGCCTTTAACTATAGGCCCATTTTGCAAGTAATTAAGCCCATTAGGCCCTTTAACAGCAGCCGTGCTTAAACCTCTCTGAAACCTACACTCCGATTATCAAGGAGATAAAAAATGCTAACTTTATCGGCGACTTCGACGAGCATTGTTGCTTCATGGGACACTCAACAGAGGCTTACGTACAATCCTAATGCCCCAAGAAACCCCAACAAGAAACCCAAATCTCTATCTGTCTCGCCGACCTCCCAATCCACTGGAAAGGCTACCTTAACCGCAACGAACATTCGAACCAACCAAATTGTCTCCGACCTTCTCAAGCGTCGCAGTCCCGTCTCAAATGAAGGTAAATTCATGCATAGATTTCTGATTTCTTTAATGGTTTTTCGATTTTCTGTCGGGAAATTTGAGGTTTCTTCTGTCTGGTTGATGGGAGTGTTTGAATTTGTTAGTCAGGTTGGGTTTTGTTGGGTTATGGTAATTGAACTCTATGTCTGTCGGGTGGTGAAATTGTTTGGTGGCGTTATAGAAAAATGGATGCAATGCAACCGAGAAAAATGGAAATTGAAAAAGGCTCGTTGGTTTTATGCTCAAAGTGGACAATACCCTACCATTATGGAGGTTCGTGATTCCTAACATGGTATCGGAGCCATGTCCTTAACTTAGCCATGTCAATAGAATTCTTAAATGTCGAACAAAGAAATTGTGAGCCTAGAAGGTATAGTCAAAAATGACTCAAGTGTCAAAGGGGTGTACTTTGTTTGAGGGCTCGTCGAGACTCGATTAAGGTGAGGCTGTTCGAGGGCTACATAGACCTCAAGGGAGGCTCTATGGTGTATTTTATTTGAGGGGAGGATTGTTGAGAATTGTCGGGAGAGGAGTCCCACATTGGCTAATTAAGGGGTTGATCATGGGTTTATAAGTAAGGAACACTATCTCCATTGGATAATATCATACTGTTATGGGTTTTTCTAATGAGGGCGTGTTATGTTTTATAAAACATTCAAGACGTTCTTAAGCTAATCAACATTGGTAAGAGTATTGGTGGAAGATAAGGCACAATGGAAACGAGCTTAGAAGATTTTAGTCAAAGGACTCTCATTGTTATTGTTTCAACTTTGAGATGTTTTCACGTTATGTGAGATTTGTTAATCATTTTCGATTGTTTTTACTTTTAGGCAGCAAATCAGTGGAACCAGATGGTCTCTATTTGGGATATGAGCAGTGGTTGCCAAATCCGCCAAAGGTGCAGAAACCCCGATCCGTGTTCAATGCAGCTTCACTAGCATACATGGGTGATTGCATCTATGAGGTGCATTTCCGACTCGAACTTCTTAGTATTGATGTTGTGTTTGAATGTTATGTTTGTTTCTAATGTCCAGAGTTTCGAACGGCTATATCAAATGGGTTGCAATTTTCATGCCTATAATGATTTAGTTTATGAAACTGTGAAGTTTGGTTTTCCGGTATGGCTTACCCTGACCGTTTCTGAAATATGCAGCTATATGCTCGCAGGCACTTTCTATTCCCGACGTTGAATATCGAAGAATACAATGACCGTGTTATGGCTGTTGTACGTTGTGAAGCACAAGTATGTCAAAGTCTTGCTCAATTTAATGCTTGAATTGAATAAATTGTTTCCTAACAATGTACAATTTCCGTCTTTATAAATATTGTTCGTTCTAACAAACTGTAATAGCCCAAGCCCACTGCTAGTAGTTATTGTCCTCTTTGGGTTTTCCCTTTCGGGCTTCCCCTCAAGATTTTAAAACGCGTCCACTAGGGAGAGGTTTCCACACCCATATAAGGAATGTTTCGTTCCCCTCTCTAACCGATGTGGGATCTCACAATCCACCCCCTTGGGGGCCCAACGTCTTCGTTGGCACATCGTCCGGTGTCTAGCTTTGATACCATTTGTAACAGCCCAAGCCCACTGCTAGAGGATATTGTCCTCTTTGGGCTTTCCCTTTTGGGTTTCCCCTCAAAGTTTTAAAACACGTTCACTAGGGAGAGGTTTCCACACCCTTATAAGTAATGTTTCGTTCCCTTCTCCAACCGATGTGGGATCTCACAATCCAACCCCCTTGTAGGCCCTGCGTCCTCGCTAGTACATCGTTTGGTACTGACTCTAATACCATTTGTAACAACCCAAACCCACCACTAGCAGATATTGTCCTCTTTGAGCTTTACCTTTTAGGCTTCCTCTCAAGGTTTTAAAACGCGTCCAGTAGGGAGAGGTTTCCACACCCTTATAAGTAATGTTTCATTCCCTCTCCAACCGGTGTTTCGTTCCCTCTCTAACCGATGTTTCGTTCCCACCCCAGCGTCCTGGCTAACACATCGTTCAATGTCTAGCTCTGATACCATTTGTAACATCCCAAGCCCACCGCTAGCAAATATTGTCCTCTTTGAACTTTCCCTTTTTGGCTTCCCCTCAAGGTTTTAAAACGTGTCCACTAGGGAGAGGTTTTCACACCCTTATAAGGAATGTTCATTCCCCTCTCCAACCGACGTGAAATCTTACACAAACCATCAATTTCCTCTTATTAATACAAGGTAGAAGACTTTTATACTCAGGTTGACTTTGTTATATTTCAGGATGTTCTTCTCCAGAAGCTTCTAAATGATAATTTCTTAACAGAGGCAGAGAGGTCAGTTATAAGTATTTAATCATTTCATATGTTTTCTTCACTTCCTACTTTAATGCATATGCATAAAACTCTTTGTCGATGAGAAGCGAAGATTTTAATTGCCCCTTTAATCCTCATTCGTGTGTTCGCGGTAACCATGAACTTTTCCCCCCCGAATTCTGATTTGTTGAATCTGATATACGTTAATGTAGGGACATCCTTCGATGGGGAAAAAACGTTGGTTCGTCCTCTAAAACACGTACAAAAAAACGCGCTGGTGCTGCAGTTTATAACAGAGCATCTTCACTAGAAACCTTAGTCAGTTTCCTTTAACTTTTTGCACGTTTTAATCAATATCGCCATTTCATCGAACCAAATGTCCGAAACTTATTGTTTTATATTTTCTGTAGATTGGTTACCTTTACCTGAACAATGTGAAACGGTTGGATGAAATCATGAAAAAGCTCGGCTTCTCTACTGATTCGTCCTTGCAATTGATTCCAGAGGAATCAAATAGTAAGTTTAGTTTTAAGAATTGCAATCCCCTTCCTTTTCTCAACGAAAGTGTGGGTTCTTATAAAAAAACGTTCGTGTGCTATCCAAGATCATTTGTTCTAGACATTATTCATTCTCATTTGCATTCATTTTGATCCTTTCCAATATGAACTCCCATCATCTTTTCCACTAGGTGAGCAACCAAGCAAATCAGGTGACGAAGACGAAACCTGATCATTGTTGAGTAAGCCACCGTGCTGCTACCGCGCTGATACTTCAAAACGGGTTAGTCAATTGATGTCTTCACAATTGATTAGAAATCGGATTTTGTGGCTACTCACTCTGCATGCTCTCTTTACATCGTACGTCCTTCTTTCCCATACATAAGTTTTGTACAAATAAGCATGTTTAGTTGACATTTTTGGTTTTTAGTTACATTAGTCTGTAAAACTCAATTATCACTTCCCACTTACCATGTTGTATTTTCTCTCTGTAGTAAACATTGCATTGTAATAAAGATGCCTTATAGGAGATCTTTAGCTCAATGGGAGATAGTCTGTGTTCGGATTGTATATTTAGACCACGATGCCCTCGGTTTGGTTCGCGTGGGTTTACGATTTGTAAAACTTAGCGTGTCATATAGGACGTGCGTTTGTAAGACTGGGCTCATGTAACTCATATAATTAACTAATTTTTAGCTTGGAATTTGAAAACTGACATACCTAAACAGAGTCTCCTTATCATAGCCCTTTTTCCCCTTTTAACTTTGTGACATCCCACCCCGGTTGGAGATAGGAATGAAGCTTTCTTTATAAGGATGTGGAATGAAAATCTCTCCCAAGTAGATACGTTTTAAAACCTTGAGGAGAAGTCCGAAAAGGAAAGCCCAAAAAGTACAATATCTATGCGGTGGGCTTAGGCTGTTTCAATTGGTATCAACGTCAAACAACGGGCGGTGTGCTAGAGAGGACACTGAGTCCTTAAAGGGGGTGGACAAGGGGCGGTGTGCTAGCGAGGACACTGAATCCTTAAAGGGGTGGATACAGGGGGCGGTGTGCCCGCGATGATGCTGGGCCTCGAAATGGGTGGATTGTGAGATCCCATATCGATTGGAGAGGTGAACGGAACATTCTTTATAAGGTTGTAAAAATCTCGTTCCTAACATAAGCCTTTTAAAATCTGAAAGGGAAAACTTAAAAAAGATTATATCTTTTAGCGGTGGGCTTGGGGTTGGACTGTCTTTTCATAAGGCCATGAATGGAGGCCATCCAAATGGCCGTATTAGGAGTCAGAAGCCCAAGCTGGTCTGAACAGACAACAAATGAAATCAGGAGAAACCCACCACATGAAATCTTTTGGATGAGCTCTTCAGGAATCTGATATAGTTCTTGAAGTTTCTGTAGTCAATATCATAAAGAAGATAACACTTTTTAGTGATAAAAGGGAAGATGATGACTGAAACTGATATGGAAAAAGGTCGGTTTGTCTGGTGGCTCTGATCTGATGAGTCAAGTAGGCCCAACAATGACCAAGAGTTTTGGATATGGCCTTCTTCATTCAAAGATGAACGCCTCCTCTCTTGAGTGTGTGGCATTCCCATCCCAATTTCATGGATAACTCTTACCTATCCCTCTAATTCACACATTTCTCTTCCTCGTGAAAGCGATAGCAAAATTGTCGATATTGTTCGTTTTGGCCCGTTATGTATCATCATCGGCTTCATTGCTTTGAAACGCATATACTAAGTAGAAGTTTCCATACTCTTATAAAGAATGTTTCGTTCCCTTTTTCTCCTGATGTGAGATCTCACAATCCACTCCGCTTCGGGCCCAGTGTCCTCGCGGGCATAGAACCTGGTGTTCTAGCTCTAATACCATTTGTAACAATTCTAGCCCACCACTAGCAGATATTATCCGCTTTGACCTGTTACGTATCTCCATCAGTCTCATAGTTTTAAAATGTGACTATTAAGGAGACGTTTTCATACTTTTATATAGAATGTTTTGTTTCTCTCTCCAATCGATATAAGATCTCACAACTTGAGTTCAAACCTTTTTCATGCTCCTTTGCGCTCTTGATACATCAGGGTTATTAGGAGATCGTTTTTTCTTCAACTTTAACTTGCATGTACACCCTCAAGCTATGTGTCGGTGTTGTTTCATTTGGTAAATTCCATTTTTCATGTTTTAAAAAAAAGAACAATTCCGAAGAATTAAAATATCCTCCTCTTCCTAAGAAAAGAAGTTAGAGTTTATTTGGAATGATTTTTCAAACGCCACTTGTCTCGTTTTGTACCGATTTCTTCTTTTTATCCCTAACCAGATTACTTTGTTGTTTTGTTTCGGTACAAAAACATTGAACAAGATTAATAAAATTGTCCTATCATATCTAAAACTATGACAAAATGGATTACAATTCATTGTCTAGTTTATAGGACTCTAAGCACGCCTTGAAAAGAGGTCATTCATGTTAGGTTCGAACATGGATAAGCATTATGTGTCATCCTCATCCCCTACAATAGTGAGCCCATATTGTCTTCCAACCATCACACCCTTCTCTTATCTTACTTTCAATCCACTTTTTGACACACAAAATAAATGGTTCGTTGGATAACATGAAGCCGCAAGTGCAAACTCCACAACCCTTTTCTTCTTTTTCAAAATGTGTGTGGTGGAGATATGGTCTGCCATAGTTCTAAGTGGCTAAAGCTTTGGGCCCCTTGAACGCAGTGTTTGGTTGCGATCGATTGCATTACCTTTTAATCTATCGAGTTACTTAGTCGAGTTAACAAACGCATTTCAAATTCATATCAACTTTCTACCCTACATATCTCTCGGGTTTGAAGAATTATTCGTAAATTTTATTAAAACAAGCTAATAGAAAATGACCAGATAAGAAGGTTAAAAAAAGGTTCGACTTGTCGGTATACAACAAAACCTATTTCTATCAAGTTTCGTTTTTTTGATGAACTAAGGGCATGTTCGAGAATGCTTTAGGGCTATATTAAGTAATTTTAACTAATCAACATCAATGAACTTACTACGTAACTCGTTTTCATTACGTAGCCGAAACTACTTCACTTTTAATCATTACAAACAAGAAGTTCGATCAAAAAACTCTACCAATCTCTTTCTAACAATTTGGATAAGATTCTTTCCCAGTAATTACACATTTGAAACATCAATTCAACAAAAATAAAATAGAAAAAAAAAACTTTTTATTTATTTAAATTTCATCAAAATCATTAAAGTGATTGATTTGATTATTTTCAAAATGGATATGATTTTTTTTCCTATAGTGGAGTAGGAGTCAACTTAAGTGTGCCCATTGATAACGTGTGGTTATGGATAACTTAATTAAAAACACTCTTAATTCATCATTAATTTTTTTTAAATAAAACTACTTATGATTATGACCCTTTCTAATTGACATCTAAACCAACTTTTTTTTTCTTCTTCTCATCCTCTTTTTCTAATTGGTTTGTTTTTAAATTTCTTTTGGCTTCATTGGTTGAGATTATCGAAGTTAGTGATTTGTAGTAAAAATATATATATAATATGTTTGATCATTTCTTGGGTAACGACAGTACACGAGTTAGGTTGGGTTATAAAATTTTGGTTGGTCAGATCGGCTATCCGATAAATCGAATAGGGTTCACAACTTTTCCCAACTCAACCCAACCCTCTATTTTTTTTGTTGGTTAGGTCGAGAGTCGTCAAATTGTTGTTCATTTTTAAAAGTTTACTTATCTACCATACAAATCATATTAATAACTAAACTTTTATAAAATTCAAAAAAGATTCCCAAGTTACACCTTATCATATGGTCTTAATTTTTACAATAGACTTTAAAGTTGAGTTGGGTTGGATTGAGTTGTCAGCTTTATTTTGGCAGTTAGATTGATTTGACCATGAAAATTTCAACCTGCAACAAAAACGAGCAGAAGTCTGAATTTTCTAAAATTTTAAAGCATTCCAATTTTTATGGTTCGAGTTGAGTAATCTAAATTGTTCGAATTATTAGGCCACGAGAACACTCCTATTTGTAAACTTTAAAAAGTTTTTATTACGTCATCGACCTATTTTACATTTTTTAATATTTACAAATATAATAGATAAAAAAAAATTGGAAATTTGTCTTATTAGATACAAAATTTAATTTTATATTTAATAAAAATACTAATAACCTTTATTTTTAATATTTATAAGTACTTGTGTCCTTTGTGAAATATACATAATTTTGTATTAGAGATGACGTGGAATCAAATCTCCCCTCTTGTTTTTTTAGAAAAATAAAATAAAATTTGATTACGACAATCTAACCATCATTATTATATAGAATAAATATTTTAAAAATCAAGTAACGCTAAGATACCAATTTAATATAGCTTTATCATAACCATCCAAAACTCGCTTACGTACACAATCTATATTTCACTGATCAGCTATTTCTCTTTCTTACATATTCGTCTCGATTTGTCGGTACACTAAGTCATCTCATGATTAGAAGTATAATTCAACCGTCCCTTTATCAAAATTTCAAGACATGAAAACATTTAGTCGATTATTAATATTCTTATAAAAAAAACTTTTATAGGTTTACATTATCATGGAAGAAAATTAAGATAATACCCATAATAAAATTTCAAAATAATCTTTTTTTTTTCAATTATTTAAAAAATACCCAAGATGGGCCTAAAGGTGGCCCACATCAAAGAGGGCCCACTCAATCCTAGTGGTAAATTTATGAGATGGGGACTCATCCATAGCCAAACAGGAACAAGATAAGCCCTTTCTTCTCTTGATTCACCACTAAATCATCCTTTTTTTTGCTGATGTGTCATGCTGATCTGTTTACATTATTGCACTTTGGACCCCACTTTTCTTGCTGATGTGTGACACCCATCTACTTTTTCCATGCTGATGTGGTATTTTCAACTAGCCTAATAATCAAGTTAGGTATCAAAATTATTGTTACAATTATTTTTAGCATAAACTTTTAAAATTTAAATTTATTTCATTTTTTTCCCTTAATTTTTGTAATATTTTCTATTTTGATTTCTAAACTTTAAAATTTATATAATTTATAAATAATAAAGGAAATTAATTTATAAATTGAATTGAGGATGACGGAGCAATTTGGAAAATGGATTGAGGCTATAAAAGTCCAAGAGACGAAGATGGAGGAATTTTCACGGCCCATGGGCTTGTGGGGACCACTTAAAATACATTTATTTTTAATTTTGTTTTTTTTCTTTCTTTATAATTATTTTTAAAATGAGCTGGCTTGGAAATATATTAAATAAAATTAGGTGCTTGATAATGATGGGATTGACGTATGGGCGTGCTCCCACCTAAACCGTTGTAATTCACTCACAGCCTCCCTATTTATGATTAATCTATAAATATATATATATATATATATATATATATATAACAATAAAAAATACAGATGAAAGTAAAAAATAGAGTATTTATATGATTGGATAACATGATCAACTCAATTATCCAATAATTGAATTTTTTTTTACTCGTTTGAATGAGTAGAATTTTTAAAAATTACAAAATTCAAT